TCCTACTAAATTTAAAAAACAATGCCTGGTCCATGCCTGCCACAGTCCTTATGCTAAACTCTTCACTTTTGGCGTGCTCTACCTCTTGTCAAGTGCTCTGGAGACCCCCCGGGTGCCCGTTCTTCCCGTTAAAGTTGATGCCTTGTCTTCCAGGTCCCCCAAGATGCCTGTTCCCACTTCCATGCTCCCGTAAAGACTGGGAGCCGAAATGAAAACAGATAAGAGGACAAGGTCCTTTACCCAGAACCCTCCTTCCTTACAGTCCAAGTACGCTTATTTGGAATCTCTGCCCTCCTTGGCCCAACCAGACCCATGTGGCTTAGATTCGGAACCTGTTCACTCTCACACTGAAGATGATCCCCACCATGAGCTGGGATTTTAATTTAGATTTTAGCCCAAAGTGACACTTCTGCCACAGGGTCTTCTGTGCTTTCCTCCCCAGATGTCACCCGTGGACAATTGCAGCTGTGATTGTACAGAGGCTTTTCCCAACTAATTGAGGTTCATTCCACATTGCTTGCAGTGGGGAATGGCACCCACCACATGCCAGTGCAAATGTCTAGTACATTCAGTTAAAGCAAGTAACGCCCCAGTACAACTATCTTGCAACTTTGCAGCTTTATATAAAATAGGTGGATGGCACCATGATATATTTAAGTTTTGGCTTCTGTACTCAGCCTTTGAATATGTGCTGCCTGCCCACCCAAGGTACCTCCTTTCTACTCAGCATCTCCTCTGTGCAGCCAAAAAAACCCAGAATTTCTGAAGCAACTCCTCCTAGAGAGAGAGAGGGAAACAAAACAAGCAGAGCAGCCAGGCATGGTGGCTCATGCTTATAATCCTAGCACTCTTATAGAACAGCCCAGGTAGGCGCATCCCTTGAGCTCAGGAGTTCAAGACTAGCCTGAGCAAGAGTGAGACACCATCTCTACTAGAAAAACTAGCTGGGTGCCATGATAGGCACCTATAGTTCCAGGTACTCAGGAAGCTCAGGCAAGAGGATGGCTTGAGCCCAGGATTTTGAGGTTTCTGTGAGCTATGACACCACGGCACTATAGCCTGGGGCAACAAAGACTCTATCTCAAAAAAAAACACACACAAGCAGAACAACCTAGGCTGATGACTCCCTGCTAGACGGCATCACACAAAGCTGTCTTGTAAATAATATCCCACAAGACCAGAGGGGCAGATCTAAGTACTCTACGTTATCCAGATCAGTGACACTCCCCATCTAAAGAGCCAACCTTCCACTGTTCTTCCCTATGGTCCCTGGTGGATGCTTATTAAAAATTAGTAATTTCTACTACTTTCTCCCCTACCCCCCATACTTTGCAAGTTACCAGGGACACTTGACTGCCAATCACCCCTAGGGTGTCTCCCCTGGTTCCCTCCACTGTTCATCCCACTGCCAATCCAACCTCAGCCCTTGCATCCACCCCCACTGTTCTCTTTTTTCCTCTCTGCCTCTTTCCTGCACCCATCTTCAAAACCTTTGTGTGTAATTTGCCCAAACCAGTGCACACGCATTAATACATCTCAGCAGAGTTGGGCCTGCCATCACCTTCCCACTTCCCACATATACTCATATAGAATCCACCCTGCTCCCTCACCCACCAGCCACCTCCCACTTAGTACTGGAGGCTCTGGCTAAGGAAAATAGGCAATGAAATAAAAGGCACCCGGAGGTGCCAGAAAAGATCACTTCCAGGTACTCCATCAATACTCGTCTGGTACAACCACTCCCTGTGAGAGACTGCTAACTCCCTGTAACTCATCAGCCCCGAATTCATTCTCCACCTCTTCTCTACAACTTCACCTGCACTTAACTAATATCCACACTACTGCGAACTGTTCATCAAAGGTAGGTGGGTGGAGCAGAAGTGCTCCATATGGTTTCACGTCTATCTGACACAGGGGGTGTGAGAATAGCACTTCTAGAAGACAAGTCCATTTGATAAAGCCTGTCTAGACATGATCCATCTGGGTGGATTTGTCTCCATCACATTGGGGGCTGGGGCTGCAACAGAACAAATGAGGAAGGATGTTCCAGACTCCACCCAAGGTCTAGGGCACAAGCATGCCTGAGCCTGCAGCCCCCAGAGGTTGCCAGAATGCTGAGTCCCCTGGTGTGGGGGTAGAGAGGGGTTCATTTGAGGTGAGAAGTGTCCAGATCAGGTGTAGTAGGTAGAATAATGCTCCCTCAAAGATGTCTACATCCTAATCCCTGGAATCTATGAGTGAATTACTTTACATGGCAAAGGGGACTTGAGATTGCAGAAATTTAGGTTGCTAATCAGCTGGCTGTAAGACAGAGACATGAGCCTGGACTATCCGTGTGGGCCCAACATAATCATGAGTGACCTTAAAAGCGAAAGAAGGCTCAGCGCCAGTGTAGCACAGTGGCTACATGCCAGCCACATACACCTAGGCTGGCAGGTTCGAACCTCCCAGGCCAGCTAAAACAGTGACAACTACAACAAAAAATATAGCCGGGCATTGTGGCGGGCGCCTATAGTCCCAACTACTTGGGAGGCTGAGGCAAAAGAATCGCTTATGCCCAAGAGTTTGAACTTGCTTGAGCTGTGACGCCACACCAGTCTCACCAGGGCAACAGCTTGAGACTCTGTCTCAAAATAATAATAATAATAAATTTAAAATATATAAATAGGGGCAGCACCCATAGCTCAGTGGGTAAGGCGCTGGCCACATATACCAAAGCTGGCAGGTTGGAATCCAGTCCCGGCCATCTAAAACAATGACAACTGCAACAACAACAACAAAAAAAAAAATAGCCAGGCATTGTGGCAGGCACCTGTAGTCCCAGCTACTTGGGAGGCTGAGGCAACAGAATTGCTTAAGCCCAAGAGTTTGAGGTTGCTGTGAGCTGTGATACCACAGCACTCTACCCAGGGCAATAGCTTGAGACTGTCTCAAAAAAAATAAAAATAAAAATAAAAATTAAAAAAAAAAAAAAATATATATATATA